CCCCAAAACCCCAAAACCCCAAAACCCCTAAATATGAAGATTAGAATTTTGATGAGGATTAGAAAAATTAAAAAAGCAATTTAATTATTGATGAAATAAATAAAATTTAATTTCCCGCTCTCTGGCTCAATCATCGTAAATATTAATTATTGCTTTGCTACCATTCATGCCTGCTTCTCTTAAAAACTCTCATTCAAATCTCAGTATCATTTTCTAGCTTATGCTCGATAGGTCTTTTAATTACTCTAGTCTTCGCTTTCTTTACTATCTTGCCCCTTTTAACCTTATTATCTCTATTGCTATCGATGACTGGAAGTTGATCATAGGTTTTGAAAATTGCTTTTTAATGCACATTTGCTTGCTAGCCATCAGTATCCTCATCGAGATTAAAAGCACTCTAATCAAGAACTTTACTCTTGTTCCTAAAACTTGTAACTTAATTTTAATTTTGTTTGCTCATAAATTGATCATAGCTTTCCTCGTCCTCTTTCATGAAGCTTTGAGAGATACCTTTTTTGATTTTCATTGATGCAAATTTTGTCTCTTTAGTTTGTATTCCTGTGTTAGCCCGAATACACTTCTTAATAATACCCGTAAACATCTTCTGTTTGAGTGTCCTGTGTCTCTCCTAGGTCGGCAAGTCATCTCCTTAGGTTACAAGGTTCTCAAAGATGCGTTTATTGAAACTATTCTTAGGATCTACATTTTCTGAGAAATGTTCTAGAATCAAATTTAAGATCTATTCCTCTTTTTATTGCTGAGTCCTCGGTTTGAATTTTATAATTTTTTTCTCAAACTATCTATCTATTAGGTTTTTCTGAATGAAAGGAAGTAATTTCCTCTACTGCCTTGTAAATAGAATACTTTTGATGATTTCAAATTCTTTTAGCTGATAAATGATTTTCTTGATGTCTAATTATTAATCTAACTTTCTTTTTCCATAAAGAAAAAGTTGTCTTATTGTAGTTGCTTTATTTTTTCTCAAGCATGGGCATCCAAATATTGTATCTCTTAAAAACTAAATAGATGAGTACTTAAATTTGATTCTATTGCTTATTTCCAGGGCTAGTCTTTAATAATCTTCAGGTTTATTATTGGCTAAATTAAATGCATCAATCATGGATTTTTATTTGAAACTATCTCCCGCAGTATCAAAAGTATCATTTTTTGACTATTTCTGCTTTTCCAGGGATTATTTACTTATCAAGAAAAGACTTTTCATCAAACTTGAATAGTAGACTAGATCAACAAAAGGCATCAAGAATTTTCTAGCTAGAATTAAAAACATTCCTATAAGACCGCCAGACTGACAGAATGCATCAACAATATTATAAACTTGACGTTCAGCAAGATTGAATTAGTTCTTAATAGAAAACTCTAATTGAATGTAGTGTTTGTTGTCGGCCAAAGTTTTGGAGATAACCACGATTTCTGGTGTAATTAGGGTCTCATTGAACTTATTGATGCTTTAATGCAAAATAGAATCTGATCCGATAGCAGTTGTTTGTTAAAGTTAAACATCTACTTTGGTTTATTTATCAATGAAAACGTCTATTAATTAAATTTCAACAAAGGACTTTACTGGTGATACATTAAATTCTTAATAGTCAAAGTATTATCTAGTAAATATAAACTAGATTTGAGTGTATTTAAAGAATTTTTTAATGAGTTCTTCATCACTAACGCACTCCTTTCCTGGGTATATAAGGGACAGATGCTTTGGATCGCATTCGCTTAATAAAATGTAGAATAAAGATATATCTTGCTTCCCAAGCAGACTTAAGTTAGCATCTCTACTCAGGCACTTCAAATTTTTCCAATAGTATACGTCTTCATCATATTTTCATCCAAAATTTTTGTTTTTCAAAAATCTGTCTTGCTGGCAGCTTTCGAATCCAAATTGAAGAGAAGTATAATCCTCCAATTTATACTGAATACTTGATAAGTTAAAAAATTGTTCCAGAACATAGTTTTCATACTCAGGCAATTGAAAGTAAATTGGTGAGCTGATACTGAATGCGAAATCAAAGGATTCAAAAGAGATGTTATGGATTATTTGTGTCAGATCAAGAGGGTTACTAAATGATTTTTAAGTAAACTTATGGTTGGCAATGTCTTATATCTAGTATGAAACAAAAGTAGCAATCAGTAATGCTGTAAGAATAGTTGCAAACGCTCCTAAAAATGTCTTTTTTGTCTCACTTCCTTGGTATTTCAATTTGATATGCTTACCAAAGGCGTCTATCTTTAAAAAGCTGCTTTTGAGCCACTTAAGCTGCAATTTCATCAAGCTATTAATATTTTAGCTATTTCCAAAAATCAAACTAATTATATATATATACTAGCAAATTTCATTCAAAATGATTTTTCAATAATCTAAAAAATTCTACTAGCATGGGGTTTTGGGGTTTTGGGGTTTTTTAG